GACACAACTGCATTTGCCATGTGAACTTTACAACATTTTGGGGTAGAGAATAACGTTCTCCTTTGTAGAAGGATAAATAAATGAAAGTTAAAAGAACTTTAATAGCTAGTCCAGACAGTCAGTGACTCATCCAATTCAAATACGCATTCCCTTACTCAATGGTTGCTGGCAGGGCTGACTATCTTCATGAAAGATTGTATATGCAACCCCTCACAGCCACAGTCCCCAAAGGCATCCATTTAACAACCTGGAGAAGGAGAACCACAGAAGTCTAGTATATGTAATTGGAGTAAACATCCCACACCAACAATCTATAAAAGTATGCAAAGATAGGGGACAGGCAGGGTTTGAACACCCCATGCACTTACGCCTTCTGAAATCTTAGGCAAGTAACTTATTCTCCCTCCCTCCCCCCTACACGTCTTAGTTTTCTTATTTGTACAATAGCCATCTACATTATAGGGTTCTTCAGAGACTTAAAAGAGATAACATACAACTTCAAGAAGTTTCACATAGTGCCATGGAGATGGTATAGAGGTTAAGGTGCTTGCCTTGCATTCAGCTGATCACAGTTCAACCTCCAGCACTGTGTATCTCCCTTCAACACAGACAAGAGTCATCCTGAAGCACAGAGCAAGGAATAAGCCCTAAGCACTTCCAGGTGTGGCCCCCAAAGCAATAAAATAAAATAAAAATTCTTCACATAGTATACAAATATAAAATGTTTCACAGAGTAGAAAACCAAAAGGTCATGGGAATAGAATGCACTTTTAATCAAAATCTGTCTGAATTAAAAGAGAAATAAAACCTCTTAGATTATGATGGACTGGAGAAATAGTACAGTGGTTAGGGAGCTTACCTGGCATGTGTCTGGCCCTGGTCTGAATCACCAGCACCACATATGGTCCCCAGACATAGCCAGGGACCACTCTTGAGCACAAAACCATAAATAGTCCTTGAGCACTGCCAGGTATGGCCTAAAATGGAAAAACTCTTAGATTTTGGATGGTTTTCTATTGGTCAGAAATAAAATGTTAGCATCTTAATGTAGTTCTTAAAAAGTGTAAGTTCTGTGCATAGAGGTTCTGGCTCTCTTAATCATCTCTTATTTCCAGGCTCAAGCCAGTTATGAACTTGTTGCCATGTGTGAGGTGTTCTATGGATGTATGATGGCTGAATGGATGGATGTGTGCGTGCATGCATGAATGAATGTATGCATCACGGATGGATCAAAATAATTTATTACAAAGGGAAGCGCCACTGAAGAACCATGTACCTCTCACAGTGAATGGCACCTGTCAGCTATCGTGTGGTCTAAGACAAAAACCTGGGTGTCACTTTGACTACTCTTTCCTAGTCACTGCTTACAACCACCCTGCCTGTCAGCTTCACTTCCTAAATGTTAGCGTGGGAATTCATTCTCTTCCCCCTGCGTTGTTACTCCCTTTGTTCAGGCCCTTTTCTAATTATATCCTGGATTTCTCTACCACCTCCAAACTCTTCTCCAAGCTTCTGATCTCTGCCTACTCTTTTTAATCCACTTTCCACACTTGGGATGTGGAATGATCTTTTAAAAACATAGATCTGATCAGGTCACTAGTACCACCACTGCTCCCCCTGCAAGCCCCCCCTAAAACACACACACACACACACACACACACACACACACACACGGATGGTGCATGACACACTATAAACTTTAAGATAAATCCCAAACACTTAAGCATGGCATCATCAGTCTTCATAATCTTGGTTCTTTCTGCCTCTCCAGCTTTTCCTGGAAACTCTCCAGCCCTTGAATTCCAGGCAGCCTCCAGAAGACCTTTGCTGTCTCTTGCCCTATGCCATTGCCTTATCTCCTTCCTCTACCTAGAATTCTCTTTTCCCTCCTTCTCCTCTTCTTCCATATTCTTCAGAGCTTGACTGTTTGTTCCCTCCCTAAGATGCTTTCTCTGCTTGCTCTGGCTCTACTAAGAATTGGTTGTTCCCTCTTTCTGGGTACTTAAGTGCTTAAGACTTTGTTCACGAACCTGTATGGTTTCCTTGTCTGTGCTTTCCAGGTGCCTGGCTCAGTAAGTGCTATTTTTTCCTCTCTCATTGTACTGAATACATACCCCATTCCCACCCCCAACCGGCTGTGGAGCAATGAAAGTTTCTCAAATTGATATTTTATCTCTCACCAAAGACTTTATTAGAAGCATATTATTCTCAGTCACCATTACATCTTTGAACAAATGTGTGTCCAGGAAAAAAATAGTAATGCAAAGTTTAGAGTATGGTCTAGGGTTCTGGAAAAATATCTTTGATTAAGCAACATGGAGAGCGGTATATTTTCAGCCAACAATCGAGACACATGATCTGACAAACATAATTACATTTATATTTCTGTTCCAGAACATTTTGAATACATACTGGCTTCTCAACCTGATCATTGCTTTTTGCTTTACTGGGTAATCCCAATATGCCTGCTCAAGACATTGAAATGACAACTAATGAGTTAATTGGCTAACAATCCTGGTGAGCTCACTATGTACAAGCATTATATGAACAGCTTTGCCATCACCTCATGCAATTTTCTCAACTACCTTTCAAAGTGGATCTTTTTATTCACTCCATTTTACAGATGAGGAAATTGGAGCTTGAAAAAGTTAAGTAACTTACTAAAGGTTACAGAGCCTACACTGGCCATTTAGCTAGCAACAAATGAGCCATCCGCATGATCTTTGCAGTCATTCTTCGATACCAACATAACCATGACATTTTAACCTTATTAGATCATCAGAAGAGCCACCTCAAGCAAAAAATAACTTGGGGCTTCCGGAATTTTTATTAAAACTCTAAATCTCCTGGCAATAACTTGCAGAAGTCATGATTCAGAGCAGCAGTGATATTTGAAGATGGGATCACATGCGGGTCTCTGGACTCTCGAGACTCTCCCTCCTGGAAAGGGGTGCTCAGCCTTGACATTTATGGCCGTCTGTGTTTTGCCCATTCCTGAGTCTTTTATCATCATTGTCTATTGAAAGGCACTGACCCACATTGATGGTCCCTGAAGAGTCCTCTCTTTCAGGTTTAATCAGTCTCCTCTCTTCCGTAGTTGTTATTTCTTTGGGATCTAGAGGAATGTTTGCCAATGTCCTAACAACTGCATAAAGATCCCCTGAGCACTCAAAAAATGCATTTCCTAGGCCTAATGCCACAATAGTCTCTGAAACTATCGCCAGACTGGAGCCAGAATGTTTAACCACACTTTTTCAGGAATTTTTTAATTAATTCTAATGGTGAAAACCACTAACATCCTTTGTGGGGATTCCCCACAATTCCAAGGGTGATCCTCAGAGTAATGTTAGCAGCTTTTGCTAGAAAACGAGGACTCTGTAATCCTCCTCCCAAACACTGTAATGAATTCTTCTTGTGATTGATATACACATCACATGGCTTCAGAGAACCAGTGATCTAGAATATTTCCCAGTATTTCAGTGTGCATAGAAAACACAACATGTGTCATGCCCATTGGAATATAGGTGGGGATACTGTCTAGGTATCAGAGCTCAGCCTGCCCCAGACCCCATCTGGCTACCCAGAAAGCTAAGAGATGTTTCTTGGGCTACAGCCCACGGGTGGAAAAGCACTAGTCTAACTTAAAATACACCTGTTTTTTCTAAATTTCTTTCTTGCAGCATAATTCCCCAGGTCTTGCTTATTCTTATTCTTTTCAACACTTGTCACTTCTTTTCACACATACTGAGTCACAAAAGCTACATCCCAACCTACTAGGTCTTAGGAATCTTGCTGCAATGAAAGAACACAGCCTCATCTTTAAGTTCTTGGTGCTTTCTGAAAAATGCAGGGAGAAGAATTCTATCTGTTGCCCTGAACCCTCATTTGCTGTGGCCTAAGGGAAACTAGGAAGAAATAAGAGCCCTCTTTGCATTGCAGAATGTTCGTTTCTCTTCGTCCACAAATTGGTAACACATGTGTAAGGTGGCTTCCTCTTTTCCTGAGTGCCAAGAAGAATGTGATTTTGTTTAGGCCTCCCTTCACAAAAATCTGTCAACTCAAAAGCTGGACAGGTGTCCCTTCTCTTAGCCAGCCCCCTGATAACGAGATGACAGTTGGGATGGAAGGAATGAGAGACCTTCAGAAACACTTCCTGGTGACACCACTTGATCACAGCAACCAAGAGTCAGGATATACCATCTGACTTTGCAGGGCCCTCCAACTCCATGGGAACCCCACTGATTTTTTTCCCTTCTGAGAAAATGTTGGGAAATGTTTGAGGTCAAAATGCTGATATTACTTTGAAGCAGATGTAATAAATTCTATCCTTAAAAGGAAGATTTGTCATGGCCTGAGGTAGAAGGAGGCTACTGCTACCAGACAATTCACCTTGACATTCTCTTTCAACGTCACTTGCAAATATGTGTCTGATTCTCCCTACTCTGCTTTCCCCATTAGCTAGCATGTGGACAAAGTACATATGTGCTAAGTAGCTTCATGTGAGGTTATCTCTTGCCTATCTCAAGATGTCCATCCCTCAGGTCTCAAATACTCTGAAGGAGGACCTTTATATCACTACTATATCTGAGAGGGATATACCTGTAGTTTCCCAGCATTTGTAGTGGAAAGAACAGTCACCAGAACATGTTGTCACTTGCTATCTCTGGTTGATAGTCCCGGAACTCTTCCCTCGGTCCAGATAGAGGAGCCCTTTCTCTTGCTTTGAACAGGAAGCTCAAAGAGTAGGTGGAAGTTTACCCAGGGTGTCCAGAATGTCTAAGAAATGAATGTTTTTTTTTTCTGAATTCCTATCAAGATTGGTTAAAAAAAAAAAAAGAAAGAAAAGAAAAAAATTCATCCCTAATCACTTGATCAACAAATTCTGAAAATGCACTATTTGGGGATGCTAAGAATTGCCTCTCGCAGTCCCTATACAGTAACTCCTCCCCGCGGTCATTTCAAATGTGAAATATTGAGCCACTCTCTGCTTCTTGGTCCAGGATGAAGAACAAGTTGTGGTACTTTGAATTTGGCACCTCGGAGACCTTTGCAGCCACCTGCAAGAAACTGCATGACCACATAGAACTGGAGGTGAGTCCTTGTGTAGGGCAAAGGTTTCTGGGCGCTCCGTTCTGCTCTCTGACTGTCCCACACACTCCCAGGACGTGCTCCCCTGGATGCTTAATTAGTGATCCAGAGAGCAATCCATTGGTCATACCACCATCCTGTTCCCAAATCCTTTTTCGTCTATCCTCAGTGAAGACTCCAGGTGCTGGGCCTGCCTGATGTGGCCTGTCCCAGGAGTCCTTGTGGCTCAGAGGACCCTGGACCACTTCCAGCCCTCTCCCCTCTTCCCACCACAACCTTATCGTTTCCCCATCTTCTGAGAAGCTGAGATGTAGGTGCTGCCTGCACAAGGTGGAGAGTTGGAGTAGAGACGATGCCCAAGCCTGGTAGAAGTCTGGGGACTGAGGAGGAGAGTCATGGCTCATGTGAAGAATCACACACCTTTTATGTGTGAGGCTCTGGATTTGAGCCTGGCACCACAGGGCCTCCCAAGTATCCCTAGATAGGCCCCTCCCCGACTCCTACAAAAAGTCTGGAATTGATGGCGACAGGAAGCAAGGGTGAAGAATGGCTGTCCGAGCTGTTCAGACTCTTCTTCTTTTTTATTTTTGGACGCAGGGAGGTATAGCTGCTCCCAAGAGCCCCCAGGCTTCATGCTCTTCCGTCACTGCCTTACAGTTCTTCATTCTGCCTTTTCACATCGCCTGGGGCCCTGTAACCGACTAGCCAACCCCACTGGCGCACATGTGGGCACAGCTGGCTGCCTGCCTTGCACATTGATTTGCCTGTGGGTCGCTTCCCTCCCGAGTTGAATCGCCTCCCCCTCCGCATCCCTGCCCCCCCGCCCCCAACCTCGACTTGGTCTGGGTTGCTGGGGATGCCCTGAGGTCGCAGAGCTTCTCTGCCAAGCAAGCTCCGCTTCTGCCAGCGCTGGGGGCCCACAGGCCCTGCCACGGCCCCGCTCCCGCCCACCCCGGGAGCTGCAAGTCCTGTGCTTTTGCTTCCCCGGAGGAAAACAAGTGAAGGGGGCGAGTGGGGGGGGAGCTCCTCCGGGCCCCTTAGCTTGGCCTGGCCCCGCAGAGACCCGCAGCGTGGGGGGTGGAGGGGTGGGGGCAGCCCCGCCCGGCGGAAGGGAGCTGCTCGCGGCGAGTTTGCACAAACACCACCGCCAGCCAGCGATCCCGGCTTCTCCTTAACTCATCTGCCTGCCGCTCCCGCAGACGGTTGCCGGGTTACCAGCCCGGGCGGGCGGAGCCAGGCCTGCTTCTCCCTGAACTTTTGGCTCCGCTGTCAGAGCGCGCAGAGGCCGCAGGGACAGGGGCTGCGTGTCCCCTGGCGGTGCCACCCACGCGCGGGCGCGGCAGGCGGAGGAGCCGGCCCTCCTTTGGGGTGGGGGGTTGGAGGGTGCGATAAACCCTCTGCGCCCCTCCCGGACTGCAGCGAGGGACCCGAGGGCCGGGAACCTGACCCCCAGAGAGATGTGGGGACCTTCTGCGAGGGCAGGGTGGGCTGCTGGGGTCTCTTTAAATAGCCCCCCAGTGAGGGACGCCCCGGTCCAAGCGCCCGCCAGCTGCAGGCTCACAGCGGCTGCTTGTTCTCCCTGCAGCTGGCCTTGAAACTGTGCCCAGAATAGAGCGGCCAGCTCCCCTGGCCGCGGCCGCCTCCCAGCCGTGCCTGCTCTCCCCTCTGGGGCCGAGATGCAGGGGAGGCGGGTGGGCTCGGAGCGGTGGGGGCTGGGGGTCTCTTTTCCGAAGAAGCCGGTGGCCTCTGGGGGTGGGGGGAAAGTGGGGGAGGTGGGGGATTATTATTCCCATTGAGGGTCTTTGGGGGCTTTCAGGAGCGTTTCCTGTTTTCCTTATCTCCTCATAATGAGCCTTTTTAGTATTGATTCGTGAGGGGCAGGGTGGGAAAGGGGAGCATGTGACTGGCGGTTTCTGAAACCCCGCAGCATTGCAGCGGGCTCTGTGTTCGCAGCCCAGAGCAGTGGGTGGACTGTGGTGTGTGTGTTGAAACGCAGAGGAGGGGGGCAGGGAGAGGGAAGGGGGTGGGATGTGTCAGTGGCAGGTACTCAGAGGCTGCAGTGCCCCGCAGGGAGGTGGAGGGTGTCAGGGTTCTGGCAGGCCAGGGCCAGGGGCTCTGTGAAATGACCGTGGAAATGTGGCCGCAGCCCACAGACAGGTGGGCCTGTGTTCCCCACGCATGGCTCAGGGTCAGTGATCTGAGAACGATGCCACTGGGGGATTTGTTCCCAAGTGACACCATTTTTCAGAACCCGAATGAAAACTATATTGGAAGTCATCAACCACCCTAATGTAAGCTAAGTAGTACTGTCCGCATTTCATGGAACAACAAACTGAAGCACAGAGTCCTTGAGGGGCTAACCCAAGGGGGAGGGAAAATCACATACTTGGATACCTCGCTTGATACAAAAGCCCAGTGAGGGGCTGGAGTAATAGCACAGAGGTAGGGCACTTGCCGAGCACCTGACCAACTTGGGTTCGATTCCAGCAGCACATATGGACCGCCAAACCCTGTCAGGAGTGAGCCCTGAGTTCAGGAGTAAGCCCAGAGCATAGCTGGGTGTGGCCCCAAAGCCAAAAAGCAAGACAAAACAAAACAGAAAACAGTGAGGCAATGTATGATACATATTTTTAAATGAGGAAATGAAAAGGCCTGACTATTTTCAGGAACTGGAACAAGTTTTCATGACAGGAAACTGGTAAGAGGGAAGATTCTAGGTCTTCTAGGTTAGAACTAAATAAACAGAGATTCCCCTGACAAGTGCTAGAAAGAAACTCAGTGACTGTTTCTGCATGGAGTCTCTGTTCTTTCCCTTTCCCAAGGGAAAGACCCTTGGGTTCCCTCTCAGCTCGGCTGAGAAATGTTTTAAAGGGTCAAGAAATACAGTCTTGACAGGAAGGACGGAATTCAGGCTGGAGAGTAAAACAGAGTTGTAGAAGAAAACTTGCTTCAAGTTTATAAAAAATGCTTTTCTATACAGCATCTCATTCTATAATCAACCCCAGAAGATGCCACATAATAATAATTAATGTTCCTGGGGCACAGGGGAAAACTCCTGTACCCCTTTGGGTTCTTCTGAAGCTGGATAAACAAAAACATCCAACAGATTAGTAGAGGGGAAAGGCCCAGTCTAATAACATGTGTACAGAGTTTACGTGGTTGTAAATTCCAAAGTAAATGGGAGCCTACCAGGGCTCTCTGTCTTGGGCTAAAGGCCGTGGGGTGTGCAGAAGAAAGGAAGGGTTGCACATGATGAGCAGTAGATAACTTCCAAGGACAGAGCCTTGCCTCTGGGTGTTTGCCTGCTGGAAGATAGGTTTCTCTGATTAAAAGATTATTTCTGGAGATGTCCCCAAATCCAGGTAGTTTGCATGCTTTAAGTCCCAGTAACAGTTTCTCCTGAGGCCCCCAGGGCATTGACTGACCTTTGTTCCTCGGCCTTGATAACCTGTGCTAGACAGGACCTACTCTAGACATCCTGGAAAAGACCACCTGTACCTTCCTGGGGTTCAAAAAGTTCCTCTCTTTGTGGGTGAGGAAACTGAGGCACGGAAGTTTGAGAAAGGGTACAAAGATAAGAAGTGCAAGGGACCATTTCTCTGTGTGTGGGGGGGGTGAGGGGGGGTGTGCATGTGTAAGACATACAGACGGACTGGTAAAAACATAGGTGTTGAAACTTAAAGCTACACTGAGACTCTGAAGGGAAGGTCTCCATCAAGTCTTTCACATGAACACAGCTTGTTTCTCTGAGACTAGTGGCTGACTGGAAGGGCTAAGAGACTTAGTCCCGTCTCTAAAATACAACCCTGGTGATAACACACAGGAGCTGATAAACGTTGTGCTGGCTTAACTAGTGAGAAGAAAACAGGATCGAAAGGGGTCCTAATGAGTTGAGCAGGGGAAGTGACCCTCCCTGTGTTGGGGTCTGGGCAAAAGTGAGTTGACTCTAGATGGTGATGGCTCAGGGGCAGACACTTGGCCAGGGATAAAGGCCTGGTCCAGACATCTAAGACCTGAGGGTCATCCCTCCTTGTCAATTAGATTAAGTAACTGGCTTTACAGATGTAAGCTCATCTATAAAGCAGGGAAAGGAAGTTGGCCTGCCTCCAAGGCTATCATTTAGATGAAAGTTTTTTAGATTTTGTTGTTGTTAAGTAATTGGCAGTCATGCAAAGTGCCTCCCAGAATCTACAAAGAAGCCCCAGGTTGGGGGAATCATAATCACCTTGCCAGAAAAGGGGGTAAAAACTGAGGGAAAGTCAGTCACACTGAGGTTCACAGCCTTCAGGAAGACAGGGTAGGCCCAGATGGGCCCCAATCCTGGGAGTCACTGGGCTGGACTCGCCTTTTCCGCTGAAGCAGAGATCCTCAGTCCAGTGGGGACATCTGGAAAGGCTTTGATCTACACACCTTTATTTATTTTGATACTTTAGATAACATTCAAAGCAGGCCTGAGATGTGTCTGTTCATCCTTGCAAAGGTACCTCCAAATGCTTCCTCTCCAGAAACACCATGGAAGCAGGTGCTGGCCTGGGTGTGCCCTGCACCTTGTGAGTGACGCCAATGAAGATGCCTACGGTGCCCTCACGACTGTCCTCAGCCCTGGTCTAAGCCAATCTCCCTTGGTCTTGGGGTCTCTGACTTTCTTCCTTTGCGAAGGGCTCTGGATGTTCATTCTCATCAGATTTCACCTGAACCAATAGATGGGGGGGGAGGGGGGACGCAGTGAGTCACCTCCCCCACCCTGGGCCCAGAATAGTCTTGGAAAGGTTTGGAGACGTGAGCAGAGTTAGGTGGAGCCAACCAGGCAGGCTTCAACTCGAGCACTCATTTGACATGCTGTGGAAAATTTTCACTTGACTGGCTAAAAATAAGAACTTCCAAAATTCCTTGATATTTTATCGAGGCTTTAAAACAATGTTTGCAAGAGAAGACTAGCCAGCTCCACTAATGTGAACCTCTGCATGGGGACCGTGTGTCCAAATTTGGAAGCTGCTCAAAAA